ATGCCGGACATTTTTATGTGGGTTCTGAGGGTGAAGCCCAGGTCATCATGCAAGTTGTGCATTGCAAACAGTTTGCCAACTAAGCCATCTCTCCAGTCCATTATCACTTATTTAAATAAGCAAACACACTAATATTCCAAGGTCAGAAATGCATACAGGGGACTTCTGCGAAGCCATTAGAATTCAGTGGTATTTGGCTTAACCTTTGTCCTTTCCTGTGCTTCTCACACATCCATACGGAGTTCTGTTGCTATTGTTTATAGCTAGAAACACACACACACACACACACACACACACACACACACACGTAAGTTCAAAAGAGAGGACTTTACTAAATTGAAAATTACTTTTATCAACACAATAGCTGGTCTTTCTGGTTTTAAAAGTACTTTCAAAGGAAAATTCTATTAAGTGTCTAAATGAATGCTTGGAGAACAAATGGTTTTCTGCGAATTTGGCCACAATAATTTATAGCATACATTGGCTGGAGCTGTTCGGCACTGACAAATTCCAGGAAGTAATTGCATAAAATACTTGGAGAGGAAATTGCTTTATGCTTCCATGCTATTTATGGAAATTAGCATCTTTGTAAAAATAAACCTAAAGTGATCACAATCATAAACCCTGAACTGTGGCTCCCATGTGGTTAGGCTCCTGCTTTCAGGGCATTTGAGACAGTGAAAGACACTGCCTGCTTGATTTGCTCCTGTTATGAAGCAATTTCTTCTTTCCCTTGTATCTTTACTGCCTTGCTTTCTTTCAGAAGTATCCTGCATGGAGTTCAGATATGCTGTAGTGTCGCTTGTGGAGAAAACTTCCTTGCCATTCCATTTCCCTCCCAAAGACTACGCATAGCCCATATTCAGCATTCCCCACCTTCTCCAAGCCCATCAGTCACTCAAACCCAGTCACTCAAAGAGAACCAAACAGTTCCCAGGATCAAGGTGAACTTTCAAGTCCTTGTCCCAAGCCTAATTCAAAACCTGAAGGGATTTTCAATTTTTCTCTTTCTTTCAGTTCCACAAAATCTCTTACCCTGTTCTGCCCCCTCCAAGTGGGCTCTTGAGGGTTCTTGCCTTCATCTCATCTTGTTAACAATTAGACTCCAACTTCTGCAGCCTAGGACTCATCATTGCCACAGTGCCGGGAACCTTCCAGGCATCATCTGCTCCAGTGAGTGCCCTGCAGTCCCACACACTCCTGATAGTGCTCCTGCGGCCACCTGATAAATATTCTGAAGACTCTGTGCTGCCTACTTCACAGTAGCCATGGGCCCTGTTCATTTTTACCTCCCAGCCCTTCCTGCCATGTTCCTACTCTTCACATGCATGGTATCCATGGAAACCTGGAGGCAGAAACAGGTTTGAGAGGTATTTCTGAGCTGGCAACATGTGACCAAGTGGGTACAGAGCAAAGACAACAGGAAAGGCATTTGGAGCATCCCTGAGATCAATGGCTAGCTGACAGTGAACCAAGGAGAGAGAGAGTCAGAGAGAGAGAGAGAGAACATGAATGTGAATAGCTGGGGCTGAGGAGATGGTTCCGTAAGTAAAGCATTTTCTGTGTGAGCATGAGGACCTGCCTTCAGAGCCTCAGCTCCATTGTCATGGCTGCTCAGGATGTGCTTATAATCCCAGTCCTGGGGGTAGGAAGACAAGAAGATCCCTGGCCAGCAAATCATCAAACTCCAGACACAGTGGGAAACCCTGCTCAGAAAATAAGGTATAATTGAACAAGACACCTGATGTCAATCGCTGAACACACATACATGCATGCACACACACACACACACACACACACACACACACACACACACAGTACCTACAGAGAAAGGGGAGAGGGAACAAAAACAAGACAAAACATATGTATTTGTATGTTTATAATCCTGTAGTCATAAATGAGTTTTTGTGAACTAAAGCCCATTTCCCCAGGGCCAGTTACACTTCTGAAGACTTTGTGGGAGAAGCCATTCTCTGTCTTCCAGTCTTCTAGAGGTTTTCAGCATCCTAAGCTCCTGGCTGTATTACTCTTCCAGTTTCTTGGTGGCCTCTTCTACTCCTCTGCCTTTGCTTCATCCTGGGTCCCACTTAGGAGAAGTGCTGGGACAACCTCCCCAACCTCAACATCTTTTCCTGCATGGCAAAGTCTCTTTTGTCTTATGAGGAGAATTGATGGGTTCTGGGAAGGAGGCCATGGACATATTTGGGAGCCATTATTCAGCCTACTACACTCCCCAGGGGTTTCCATACCTTAGACACAGTGGCTCCTTCAATACTATAATGATCAAAACAATAAGATCTTGGAGGGGTGAGGGGGAGCAACCTTCTTCACTAGGAAAATCAGGTCCTAAGGAAAGGCCCAAAGCAACAGCAAGCTCCCAGGGCTAGACAGGACGGGACAGGGCTTCCTACTACTTGAGTGGGAGGAGCCTTCAGTTTCACCAGGTCAAGCCCTATGCCTAACTTATAACCCACAATTGTAAGAGTTCATATTTTCCATGATTTAATAAGGATACTTTCATTTTATACCCTAGACAGCTGAAATACCCTTTAGCTCAGCCTCACACATCGGTTGGTCTTCCACCAGGACCTTGTAGCCCTCTTATGAGGCAAGGGGAGCTAGACTGAGGAACACCAGGGACACCTTAAGCCCCATCCCAACACTAAAATCCTAATGCAGGTAGACAACTCCTTACAAAGCTCATATGAGCCTGGGGGAAATGCCAGAGACAGCCCTGTCCACTTCTGCCAAGAACCTCCTTTGAGAAGATTGGCCCCTATCTAGACTAGTTTGCACCTTCTCTCCTCCGCTCACATCTCTTGAGCGCCCCCTGCAGCTCCATAGCAGAATATGCAGGCACAATGCTAATTTCAAACCTTAAATAGAGTTCACATTCATTGCCCACATCCTTGCTTCCACTTCACCGTGCATTGACTCCTGAAAACAACCACGAAGTGGGCACTGTTTTGAGTTCCCACTACAAGTGCGGGGACAGATGTGATGCACAGATGAGTGACCCAGACATACATACAGTGGTGGTGCTGGGATTCCAGCAGTGGGTGGTATGGATGGCTGAGACTGCTGCCCAGGAATCAGGAATTATGTGTTATTCCCTTCCACGTGTGCGACACTGATGCGTGGAAACAGCACTGCCACAGGCACACAGATACAGGAAAATCCAAAGAGGTTGCTGAGTGATTCAAGCTGGACAAATGCCCCCTTAGAACAGAAGGCAGCAGACAGACTCTAAGCACAGAGAGATAGTACACAGGACATATTTGGGAGCCATAAAGCACAAAGGGAAGCACTCTGTCTCAGCCCCACATGACTGGGAAAGAATATCTCTGAAGCCCTTGTATTCTATTAGGTCATTTGATGACATGGAAAAGAAAACCATCCTGCTTTTACGACAACACTGCACCATGCTGTCCAAAGAAACCCTAAACCACACCCCCCAACTATAACTTTGTTTTTTAAAGATTTATTTTATTTTAAATTACATGTAGCCCTGTGTTTTGTGTGTGTGTGTGTGTGCACGCACACACACACACACACACACACACACACACACGCACACACACACTGCTGCAGTTGCCAAAAGAGACCAGAAGAGGACGTCAGATCCTCAGGAGCTGGTGGCTACCCCAAGTTCCAGGAACTGTGAACTCAGATCTCTGCAAGGGCAACAGAGTTTTTAACCACTGAAATCTCCATCCTCTTAGCCTTTGTTCTAACAAATCCTATCCATTTAAAATATGATTTCAGGGGAGCACTGTACAATGGGATAAAGGGGGTGATGTCCCTTACTAACCAGTCGTGTGTGAGCCACAGAATTGATAAGTACTGAAAGGGCTTAAAGGCAGTAAATCCAAGAGAATACTGCAAGACACAGGGGCCTCTGCTTCATTTACTCGGAGTATACATTTTCATCCATGCCTGCATGCTTGTTTAACAGACTTAAGCCCTTAAGTACTAGGCTGTCTGCTAAGACATGAGGGTGCACAGACCACAGCCAGAAGTGAAATCCTCAGGGAAGTGTTGTCTTGTTCTAAGTCACATAAGATGTTGCACGGGATTAGCAGCCACCCTCAGGACACGGTATTAACTGAAATGTTCCCCACATTTTTAAATCAGAGCCCACACACTTCGTGGTGGAATTCAGCTGCAAACATACTTGTCTGGATTTCACTTTGTTATAAACCAAAGGGATGAGGAAGAAATTTGGATGTCCCAGCTATCTTGAAATGTAAGGAGACCCAGCGATCCTGGGCTTGCATTCCTACTTAACAATGACAAACTGGAGTCAAGCAGAGACTGTTCTTAGTGAAGGGAAATCGAGTTCCACTTTTTGCCATCTCTACCACTCCCTACTGTCTCTTCTGCGATGCCAGCTGCTATCCTTTGAGCTTGCCCAGTAGACAAGCATGCAATCTATGTGCTCAGCTTCTCAGGCTGTGTGAAAAAGACAAGAGTCTAGAGCAATGATTCTCAACCTGTGGATTGTGAACCTTTGGGGGTTGAACAACCCTTGCACAGCAGTTGACTAAAACCATCAGAAAAACAGACATTTACATATAATTCATAACAGTAGCAAAATTACAGTTATGAAGTAGCAACAAAAATAATTTTATGATTGGGGGTCACCACTTAGGAACTGTATTAAAGGGTCGAAGCATTAAATTCAGAATACTCAATGAGTGGCTAAGCTAGTCTAGAAATCAGACTCTTCCTGACCTCTAACATGTAGCCTCTCCTGAGCTCAGGCAGACAGCCACTGTGGTCAGAAAAGACAGGGTCCACTCAAGCCTTAAGTCACTAGTGGTACACGGGTCCACAGTTGTATCAAGTTCCTGGTCTTTGAATTATCCTTACAGAGGAACCAACCAGGAGATTCTCTGGTGCAGCACTAACACTGGTCCTATTAACATCTTACATGATCTAGAATAATAGTGCTATGCAAAGACAGGTATGCCCAGAGTTCTCAGTGCCCATTCTATTACCTGCAGAAGGCCAGGGAACACAAAGATCATCCATCTCAGCAGCCACCAGGATCCTGTCCAGGAAGCCATGGGATCCGATATCCTAGGAGCCTCCCTCACAGCCTACAAAAGAAAAGAAAAGAAAAAAAGAAAAGCCTAGTTTCCAACCAGCTCTGGCTCCAGAGACAGAGTCTGCGAGCTAAGAAACCAATCGAAGGGCAGGGACCCTGAAGCCAGGCAGTGTCTCGGAAAGGTTTGTGTTGGCCCAGAATGGGATCGCCTGCTGCAGAATGGAGGCAATACAGGGCTCCCTTTAGGATGAGTCCACCAAGACTGGGGAGGGAGCAGGGATCTCCCCCCAAGTCAGCAACTCATACTTCCAGCACATCCCTGCACCAGCCACCTCCCAGCCTGTTTGTCAGACCAGGGTGTGGCTTTTGGCATTGTCCCGGGAAGCCAGCCTATGGCCAAGGGTTAGGGCACCTGCCAGCTTTGACTCCTTGAGGCGAAAAAGAGTCTAAAGCCAACTAACCTATACCAGTGAGGGAAGGAACCTGCCTAAGGTCACACAGCAAAACAATGAATCTAGGATTGCAACGCGGATCAGATAGTTTGCGGCATTTCTCACAAGACACACAGAATGTCCTCCGCTTCCAGACCTGCAGCTAAGAGTTCTGGGGGGGTCACAGGTCTGCAGAGTGTAGTCTCTCAAAGGTGAGTTAGTGCTAAGCCCAAGAGGGCCTTTCTTCTCGCAATGTTTTCGTGTCAGTGTACAGGGAACTGAGTTTGAGAGGGGACTGGAAAAGCCGAGGTCACACTCAACTCCCACTTCGCCTCGCGGGCGCCTTGGCGGAGTCGGTGTCCGGGGGCGGGTCGGTGGCTTCTCTCCATCTGGAGAAAGCATTAAGGCCTGGCTTAATGTGATCCGCAAATGTGCTGCTGTTTCCGACCTGAGGCGGCAACTCTGGGACGAAGGGAGGCGGCCAGGGCTGGGCCCCGGGACCACGCGCCCCTCTCGGCTGGCTCGCACACTCCAACGCCCGCCACCCTCGTGCCTCCTTTGCCTGGCGTGCGTCTGGCCTGGGTCCTCTGCGCTCCAGGCGTGCGAGCCTCAGTAGCCAACCCTCTGGACCTTCGAACGCGCCAGGTTGCAAACAACCCACAGTCTGCTGACCTTGCAGGGTGTCCCCGTCATCGAGAGCGACCCTCGCTCGCAAAGGACCAGGGAAGGTTCTGCCCAACATTCCGGAACCTGGTAGCGTGCACCTACCCGGAGCTAAGTCCAATAGGGCAGTGCTCACAGTGTGAAGCCCCGTAGCCAGCATAGGACCCTACTTGCCAATGGCTTTCCCATCAACTTGTCCAGCCTTACCATCCTGGGAGAGACCTGTCCTTGTATCTCCGCGGGTGTCCCTGCTCCCAACCTGGCACCGCAGCGGCGTCTGTGGGCGCAGCAGGGATGCGCGCTGCGGAGACGGAGACTAGCACCGCCAACTCGGTGACACCTCCTGCGAACGCGGGATCCCGACGGTCCCCGATGCCGGCCTCCAGCCCGCGCCTCCGCCAAAGTTAAATGGGGCTGGGACGCGGCCGCCCCGCCTGTCCCGCCCCTCCGGGCGCGCGGAGCGCAGGGCTGGCCCCGGCCCAGAGGCGGAGGGCGCGCGCCGCCACCTGCGCCGTCTGTCCCGCAAGTGCGCGCCGCGCGCCGGGGCCGGTCGGTCCGTGGCCGCTCCTCGTCCTCTGCTCGAACCCTGGGCCGCTGGGAACACGAGCACAAGCGGGGCGACGGGGCCGCAGCTGGGCGGCTCGAGGAGCACGCGGAGCCGTGGCGGCCTCGGGAAGACTCGGCTGGAACGCTTCTCCGCCCGCTTCCTGGAAGCCACTCCTCGCCCTGGGCCTACAGCCAGGCCTGGTGCCAGGAGCCCGGGCTGCCGCCGCCGCCGGCAGCGTGCTGGGGAGAGGCAGCCGCTGAGCCGCGGGCCAGCAGAGCCAGCCGGGCCACTGAGAAGATGCCATCACCTCCCACCTCCACTGCCTGGCCCCAGCGCCGGGTCTGCAAGGTCGCTGCCCAGAGTCTCTGGCTCATGATGGGAGTCTTAGGAGACCAAGACCTAGCAGCAGCCCCTTCAGTCCAAGGACTTTTGGCTGCAGGGGGACAGTGGGTGTCCCAACAGGGAAACTTGAAGCCCAGAGTATGAAACAGGTTTGGGTGACCCTGAACTCCAGACCTGTCAGAAAATAAATTCATCAGGAGAACCTAGGGTTTGGAATGGAGGTGTCCCAGTCGGGTATGGAGGCAGGGGTGAGGGTGCTTTGGACACTTCTGAAGGGAAGAAAAGTCAGGGAAGAGATACAAGGGCCTTGGCTTCATCCCATAACTGGAGCCAGGACCAGGGTGTTCCTTTTAAGGACTGCTGTGCTGTGCCGCCACCCTCAGTTCCCTTGAGTGATGCTACTTTGCCAAGAGGTTTGTGTGTAGCCAGCCATCTCAAGAGCAGTAGTTCCTAGCATTATCCCGGTTCCTCAGGGAATAACTTGCCCATGGTGACCAGAGAGGCCAGGTCTGGAACTGGAGCCTGAAACATTTGCATCCCAAGTTGCTCTCTTGCCTGCCTGCTGGACTGCTGATGCTTCCTGACTGTTACAACATTACCAAGGGTCCCCCCATCTGCCGCCTTCACTTTTTCTTCCCCAGTCAGATGACCTCTGAACAGACGAGTCTCAGGATGCATTCACTCCAGGAAGGGAATGGCTGGAATCCTACGGAAAATGAGCAGGTGGAAGATAGGAAGATTCTAGAGGAACCAAGAAGGGGGGAGGGGCAGAGCTAGACTGTGACTAACTCACCTACAGACAACTGAGTCTCACTGTTCACCTCAGTTTAGCTCTGGAAAGTGGGGCAAACAATGCATTTGTGAAACCTGGGCTACTACTGTGGCGGGTTATACAAGATTACGTTCACGTGAGCCTTTGGTCTCATTTTGTCAGCCAGCTGGCACACTGCCTTACTTTGTATACATTTCCATATAAAGACACCTTGTTTAATACGCTTGTTTATTCACACTGACCTCAGGGAAACCCCACCTGTAACTCACCTGACAAGGTCTGCTCTCTAGCTGTTCTCCGGCGTTTTGGTCCTTGGGAACACAGACAGCACTGAACCCAGGGGTGCCTTAAAACAGTGAAACCACAAACAACAAAACGCTGCAAAGAAGATTGTTAGGATGACTGCTTACACAGTAAGAGCTCAAACTGACACAAGAAAGAACATAGACTTGTAGGACCTTAGCAGCGAATATGCACACCAATGGACTCTGAATGTTCACTGGTCATCAGATGACTTTGAAAATGCTATGTACATTGATTATAGCATAACGGGTGATGAATTAAAAAAAAACTAGACATTGCAGATGAGAAGGATCCATGCTGTGCACATCTATGTCAGTATTAACATTTCAGAATATCTATGACACACCATGTGGTAGTGTGAGAATGGCCACCATAGGACCATACATTTGAGTCCTTAGTCCCCAGTTGATAAGTGGTTTGAGGAGGATCAGGAGGTGTGGCCACGTTCGAGAACATGTGTCACTGGAAGTGGGCCTTGATGTTTCAATAGCTTCTACTCCAGTGCATGCCTGCCTGCCACTGCTACACTCCCTAGCATGATGACAACTCACTAACACTCTGAAACTGTAAGCCAGCCCCCATTTAAATGCTTTCTTTATAGGAGTTGCTTTGGTTATTGTTGGGGCCCATAGGAGTAGCTGCATTTCATCTGGATTTAAGGTCAGGGAGTTCAAGCCCATTATTGCTCCTTCAAGGTTAAATCCACAGTATGTTTGGCCTTAGGTATAGCTATTGTGTGTCTCACCTTGACAATGGGATATTTGGTTCAGGATGTGGTTACTTGATGTTTGGGGTATTGAGAAGGTAATTTCACCCACTTGTTTTTTGTATCTTGGTAAGGAAGTCTTTTGCCTTCTCCCGTTTTGATTGGGGTGTATACGAGATTTGAGTAATAAACTTGGGGCTGATCCTGGTATTCACTGGGTGCCCTCCCAACTTTGTCTCTTGTCTAATTCTTTCCTCAATCCACACTCCTAAGCAGGAACTGGACTAGCTGGCAGAACGGAACAGATGGCCTTTCAACATGGGTCATGACAGGTCATGATGTCTCTGCACAGCAGTTAAACAGTAACTAAGACACAGCAGGATCTGGTCTAGGCATTTAACAAGTATGACTATTTCAGCCACCAGGACAGCTTGGCATATTGGTTTGACCTGACATAAAACAAGAGGAGATTTCTTTGGGCTAACAATGATTTCAAAGATGTCAGTTTATTGAGGCAGACCAGACATGGTGGAACAGAGAGCAGTTCACCTCTTGGTGGCCAAAAAGCAGAGAAAAGGAAAGGAACCTGAGACCTGCTAAATGGTCTTCAAAGTTACAGCCTCAGTAACCTACCTCCTCCAGGTAGACAACACTTTCCAAAGTTTCTACCACCTACCAAATAGCACTATGGGCTGAGCAGCAGGCACCAGGCTCACGAGCCTGCCGGGAGCATTTCACATTCGAACTGTAACAAGTAAATGTTTTCATTCCTGTTTTACAAATGAGACACCAGAGTAGCAAGATTTAAGCACCATATGTTCTCAGCAAGTAGACTGATTTCTCAAATCATTCACATTCTAAAACTGGCCTTCAAGTATCATGGAATCAATTGGAACACTCGCATGAATATTCAAGAAGCAATGGAGAATTCAAAGAACTATTATGTTTATTCCTTGGCAGCTGCATCAAGCTCAAGTCCCTGTGTGTGCAACAGGGGAAGGCCGTGAGGATGCCTCTAGAGCTGGGAATGTTTAAGTGGCTCTGCTCTTAGGTATCAATGTCCCCACAGAACTTCCTGCCTCATTTTCCCTTGGGCACTTTTAATTCCTGAGCCAGCCTCCAAGGAATGCCTCACACTCTCAACTGGGGCCAGCACAGTCTATTTCTTCAGGTTCTATCTAGAGTCAGGCTGCCCCTACAAAGAGTTGGCTGGGGGTGGGGTCAGAAAAGGAAACACCACTCATACTCTTATAGAAGTTCTGCCGCCCTAATAATTCCAGCATGTTGAGACATCTCATACAGGTGACACAAGGGTTATAAAGGACAGACTCCACCTATGGGTTATCTGCACCTCAGAGGTATCCCAGTGCTGACTCCCCAAGAGATCTGGAAAATCAAGCTCTGCTTCCTGTTGAGATGTACTTTCTTGGCTTCCTGGTTTCTGGCTCCTGTCCCAGGGTCTGTGTCTGCCTGCAGGAGCTTCATACATTACTACTCCTCCTGTTTGGGGAGGTTATGAAACCTTTGGGTCCTGCAGGTACGAGGTATGTACTGGAGCTGGGAAGGTTTGCAACATCTCCACGCTTCTCACTCTTGCCTTGCTTCCTGCCTGCTGATAAAATGGGAGCAGGCAGTGTTCTTCTCCCACCACCATGCCATGCCCTCCCAGCCTCTGTAGAGTCTATTCTCCTGGAACCGTAAGCCAAAATGAACTCTTTATAAGTTGCTTTTGGGCTTGGTGTTTTATCACAGCAAGAGAAAAGTAACTAATACCGAAGCCCCAGATACCAGACATGAAGACGTAGGATTGGATTATTTGCCTACTGGGCTTGAGGCTTGACTTACATTCTGTGCCACTGTGTTGGAAGTTTGTGATGGCTTTTGATTTTATGGGGGGGGGGCGTGTCACAGTTAAGAGACTTTCAACTTTGGAACTGTGTTGAGATTAAAGACTATGGGGAATTTTGGAGTTATACTAAATGGACTCTGCATCATGAAATGGTCATGGGTCTACAGAGGCCAAGGGGCTGGATGTGGCGGTTTTAAATGACAAATGTCCCCCATAGGCTCATGTATTTGGACATGTGGTCCACAGTGGTGCTGTTTGGGGGAGGTTATGAAACTTTTAGGAGGTACATCCTTGCTAGAGAAAGCATATAGGGGGCTGGTTTGAGGATTTATAATTGAAAGGTTTCTGTCCTTCGATTGATATATTATTTATGATTTATCAAAACTTGCCTGAGGTTTCAGAAAGCAAAGCCAGCCTCAGGCTAAGAGATCAGGCAATGGTGATACACACCTTCAGCCCCTGACTCAGAATTAAGAGGTAGACGGATCTCTGTTAGCTCAAGGCCACACTAACTACACGAAATTGATCCAGTCCTAAAAGAAACAACTCACACAAAGATGATCTCAGCACTTGGCATCACAGACCTTTAATCCCAGCACTAGGGAGGTGGAGGCAAGAGTATACAGCTGGGCAGAGAAAGGAATAAAAGGCGGAGAATAGGGTTCACGGAGATAGGATTGCCTTTTCGGCTGGGTAGAGGTAAGTAAGATCTACTGGTTTGGCTGCTTTGCTTCTCTGATCTCCAGCTTGAAGCTTGAACCCCAACAACTG